TGCCACATAAATTATATCAGAATAATTTAGATGAGGGAGTCGTCATATTCACTCCTCTGCTTGTTCGGAACAAAATCGAACCCTTCTTGAAAAGGATGATAACTGGGTATGCAAAGTGGATTACCTAAGAAAACATCGTAGGGAAAAGAGCATATTAAAACCCAGAAAACCTATCCCTTCCAGTTTTAAACCAAATTTGAATATGAATAACAGAATATTTTGTATATGGTGAGGCATTCGAGGACCAAACATCATGAGCTTTTAAAACCGAACGAAAAGCTCAACAGCAGAAGGATTGCCAGACACCGGATAATTTGAAGACGGCAGTCCTAGAAAAAAGCCCGGCAATGTTCAATAGTAAGGACATCTTACTGCATCATGATAATACCAGGCCATATGCTGGTTTGGGAACTCGTCAAAAATGCAGAACTAGGCTGGGAAATTCTGTGGCATCTAACATAGTCCGTGGACTTAGCACCCTTGGACTATCACTTGTTTTCGTCCTTACAAAATTGATGGAAGAGCGAAAATTTAAAAACGAGGAAGACATCAAACAAGCACTGGTTCAATTTTTCGCATCAAAAGACAGAAAAAGTTTCAAAAGTGGGACATTCAAATTTCTCTGAGGCTGGCAGGAGAAATAACAATAATAATGACAATTAAATTATTGCACGACGCTTAGTGACAGTAAGAAAGCTTTTTATTTTGTTTTATTCTAAAAACGTGCAGAACGTTTCGGTAGACCTCATATATATGCCTGCTGCCGGACACGCTCGCACGCTCGCACCCACGTCAAGGATACCAACTCTATCAGAAAATTAATGCACTTCAGACACCAAGGATATGAATGACCTGCCAAAATAGTGTATAATTGGCGAATGGCAACACCTATAAAACCGGTGGTGGACTTCCCGGGAAATTCTCTTGAGTCATTCATATACTACTTAATGACTTTAACGTGACATCAGCACAGCTGTTTATAAAACTGTCACATGAATGTGTACCTATACTACCTTGCTACTGCCTGCTTTATTCAAGCAGTGGTGGCTCGGTGGTAACGTCACCCAATTATCACCCCGGGTATGTGTTCGAAACCTACCACCACCGCCTGACTTGCCCAATTGTGTGTGTTGAATGACAACCCTATGATTGGCCGCTTCAACCTTCCTGAAAATTTTATCTTTGTGTATATGCGATAAAACGAAGTAAACTGACAAAAAAAGACTTTTCTTAATGGGTTGTACAGGGTGTATAAATTAACTGAGATGGTTCCGCATGACGCAAAAGCAAATGTTCTACACTATTCCAAAAAATCAAGAACACCAACAATGAATCGGGATACGGACTGAAAACTTCTGAGTGTGAACGGAGAACAGTGATCAAACGAAAACATCGGGTCGAACGTAACAAATCACTTCTGGGTTATCTGCAAACCATCGCATGCAACTGGCAGTCCCGGTTGTCAAATATACACGAGTTTACTGAAACGTCGTCATTTGGAAATCTGAGGGAAAACGAGAAAACGGGTTCTTGTAGCCAGTGTGAAACAGAGCGAAAGAAACACAGTGTGTTCCTTGACTTGTTTCCCTGTAAGAACCAGTGAGAGAATTACAAAAGTGTGTATACATGACCAAACTATGAAATCCTTAGAAGAAAAATGTATTCCCATCGCATACGAATGTGTATTCATGAGACCACATTGAGAAAGCAGCAAAACAGATAAAACAATGCGTCCATGTTGCGCGCGCACACCCATATACATACACAGTGAACAACAATCCCGATCGACCGGGAGTGATGAGAAGCGGCCAAACACACCAATCATTTGGCACGTTTATGATCGCACTTTGTCTGATTCTATTCATCTCACATCCAATACCAGTGGTTGAAAGAGGAGATTTTGGATTTGTGAATTGTAATATCCACAACACATGCATATTGTGGTAGTGATCGAACGCATGTGATATCATCACTTTCCACAAACCTCTTGATCTCACTGAATGTTGTTTTGGAGCCTAATTGATGTGTCTGGTACTGCCCCACAGTACACTCAACATTTTTACAAAAGTATCTACATATACGGATGCTTATTTAGTCGAACATCTTACAAAAGTGTGATTTACTGATTTAGGCGACGGTTGGTGGTGCATCAATTGACGCATAATCAGGCATCCATAGAAGCATTTAGGGAAGATATTTATTAAAATGACTGATATGCATGACGCGGCTGTTGTAGTTTCATTTTCCAGGTACCCGGTGTAGCCCTTTATTTTTCTTGAATACACGGAACTGTCTTTTAGGCATGGAGTCAATCCACATCACAATAAGTCCGTATTTGTCAATATCCTAGGTTCTGTACCACCCCCCGAAATGTAACAACCACACTCGAGGTAGGTGATTTATCTCTGCTTTCAGCACAGATAAAATATTTTCAATTACCTCCATATCTTCATTGTAACTGAATTATTTTGATTGTGGAACCTTCCAAACCAGAAGTTATGTTAATATGAGAACGAAAACGTATACTGAAACCTAAACGATTCCAATAACAAACGTAAAGTGAGACATCACAAAGAGCTTTATCTGAGAAAAGGATAGCTCTTCCGAATGTGTTGGGAGCAGGAAGATCACCGAAAACCTGCTTGATGACCGCAAGAAATTTTGCACCGACTAGAGTGATGTACAAGAGCTCAATGGCAAGGAGATCCATATTTATTCTCATTCAGCAAATAACACCGAGCAAGCATTTATTTTATTATCGGTGGATTCAATTCCTCGGACCAAGAGGTCCACAGATGAGCTGGTGTATTGCTCGTCAATTAAGAGGTGTTCACCAGTGAGAGAAACCAAACACCAAATGCACGGGTAATGCGATTTGCTTATATTGGTATAATCAATACGTGTCGTCTTTTGTTGGGCGTTCAATATCGGCTTTACATCGGCCAACCTCAACTGCAATTCAGATTTATCGATCCGTTTCCGTACCACAATAAACCGTTCCATGAAACAATACTAATTTATTAAAAAGAACGTTGCTTTAAATCAGATATTTTCTAATTTAGAGTTCTAACTTTTGAACAAATAGAAATTTTATTGTGACGCTTTGGGAGCGGCATCTCAAATGGTGGTACAAAAGAAAGAAGAACGTTGCAGCAGGAAATTAAGTTTGGAATAAATATTCTTTGCCCATGACTATCGAAATGAAAGTATGATGCTGAAAAGTGAAATATATTTCTAAATTGCGGGTCATGTTGCACGAGTTCGATTGATACCTGTTTCCGATATAACTCTGGTCACTTGGAACATCCCGTGTGTAAGTATATTTGGCAACAGCACGAGCTTAAACAGAGACGTGAATCTTAGTCAGAAATGAGGTCACAACAAATGTTATCCACTCGGTCTTTACCGCGACCAAGGCCGTCACAAAATTGACTTTTAGTTATCCTCTAAATGTCCCTGTGTGTTTCGGTAAGGGGGTTATTGTTTTGGACACATGATCACATTCCTTATCCCCGAAATTTGTAAATATTTCTTTCTTTTGATTTATCCTCTGAGATCTTTCTGCCAAAAAACATGAATTCTAAAAAGCGGACAAAACACAACCGGGAGTAAAGAAAGTACCTATGTGAAAGGTGAGGTTTTACTTCCTTTACTTTTTCGGCCAATGAAATGTCATCATGAAAATATCAGAACATCCAAACTGTTGGTTTACTATCCCCCTGGGGACGGTTTAGATTCAACTGAAAAACAACACAGAGATCACTATACTTGTGAAGTAAAACTATGCATAGAAAATGATGTGATTGACAAATGTCCGTTGATAAAAATATGCTAACTGCGAGGAGCTTGGGAATAACGAAGGTAAAGAACCGATTTTAAGGTCCTACAAATCAATCAATTTTTGTAGAAAATACGACAAGAGAAGCTTGGTTAGCATGGCATTTCCAAGACATGATTACCGAGTTGATACATCGGATTACAAGGTTAGAAGTAGATGTAAACCTTTGACTTTTCGAATAGATTTGAATCCCACGGTTCTCATTCCACACGCTTCTTTCTAGTCCTATTTTTAGTCTGACTATGGTTTCTCATTGTGAATGAGACTTGAAATATTGTTCATGCTAAATCCGAAGGAAGTAGATGACTGTTTTGATGACCGCGGTGCATCTGATAAAAACTAGAAAGGGTCGGAGGGGGAGGCACGTTAACGGAAATAAGTAAAACAGCGACTGGTAGTCTATCCAACATGCGTGCACAACTGTTTGTAAGTATGACGTAGTCATATCTACATATATATATATATATATATCTATATATATATATAGGGAGAGAGAGAGAGGTATATAACTCTGTTCTGTTAATCATGTAATGGGATTGCACGAGAAGTATATTGCATATTTCAGGAATAAATCACCGTGGTACGTCAATTAGGGTTGCCAAATGATGTAAAATTGGTGAATGTTGTTAGATTAAAAATCTTGAGAAATGCAAACCAGGCTCTCCTTGCATCATGCGAAGCATATTGGTTGGATCTGGAATGTGAACTCATTGTTTCGTTCAATTCTTCATTTGTGCTTTACAGAAGTGGGGTTACGGTCGGAAATGTTCATTCAAGACAGTATTTTGTTGGCAAAGTAACGGGACAAGGTGAGTTAAACAAGCTTGCAATAGAGACGGAATTAGTAGAGAAAGACGAAGCATTTTAGTAATGAATGAACAAAAGCTCACCTGACTTGGACAGTAGATTATTTTCACCCTGCTTCACACGGACATCGTTTAGTTCTACCGATTTATTTTGGTTTACAGCACCGCCTTGAGCGACATTCTCTCTGTCCTCCGGCGTCCGTTTTGATTTTCGGTGTGCGCCATGTTTTCGATTGTGCGAACGCGATTTCTCAACACGTTTAAAGTCTGGTTTGTTGGCGGTTTGTAGTAGCAACGGAGATAATGGTGCCTCCTCCGGTACCGGTCTGGGTATGGTTATAGGAATCGCAAAGTCTCTACCAAGATCAGACTCAGCAGACAATTTTACGGGTGTGAGAGGTGGCGTCATCGACTGACGGGGTGATTGTAGATAGAATGGTACAGATTGTCAGTTGTTTGGATAATTAATGACAGTGCATTTTCAGAACCATGGGGAATACCGATTCCGCTTCAGGAGATTAAAATTGAGACCACAGTCAAAATAACATCAAACGATCTTTATCACTACATTCAGCACCAATACAAAAGAGTCGCTCATAATGAGATACTGGATAATCATCTACAGCTCCTATATCGCTTGACTGATTCAGATAATTAAAAAAGATTTAACACTGGTTGAAGAGCTCTAGCACAGGAAGTTTGGAAGCAAGGGGCTTAAATTCCTTCATATAGACGCGTCACGCAACTCACAATAAAGCGAATGAAAAGTACTCTTCTTCAAACTGTGGAAAGCCTTACCATTGTACCACTGAACGGTCACGATTCTGTCAATTCCATTCCGCATTGATTCTCATCTTTCTTTGCAGCTGCGAGAACGCACACACACCAGTAGAATTAGCAGGATTTCGAACACGAAAACGACTGGTGTTTTCCTAACCGTGTGTGAGNNNNTGGTAAACCCGCACTACCTGATTCAGATAAGCCACAAATTTGGCCCAACTGGAGCGTTCTCAGTCATGTCTCGTTAACGCGACCCACAGCGCTTGCAGTGCAAAAAAACCAATAAAATAGATCTGAACTAAAAGCACAACTTGCTCCACATTTGTGTGGCACTCATGATGAACAGAGGAGCATTTGCATCTAAAATAGTTGAATCAACGACGCAAACACTGTAAAATGTTTATTTCTGATCCACCCTATAAATCAGTTTAGTTTCTGAATGTGTAGAAAGTTGTTCGACGTGACATTACCTATTTAATTTATGAGGAAAGTTTGCCGCATTTCAGTAAATGAAGCTCTGCGTACATTTAAAAATTATGAAAAGTATATCGCATCCAATAGTGAAGATTAATGAGTGGATTTGCATTAAATTTATCTATAACTATTTTCCGAGCTTCTTTGGGATCGGGACAAAAACCGTACACTTCAGAATTTCATTAAATATTCAAAGAAATTCTAAATAACAAAAAAAAACTGGCTCTGGTTTGGAAAGAAGAACGTGAGATGAAAAATGAGGGACGGTCGTCAATCAGTCAAGCGAAGCGAAATAGCTACCCGTATATCGTGTGTCCGAATCCAGTTAGTGTTATCTATCTTTTCCGTCGTCTGTGACTTCCCTAAAAATGAACTTGACTGTTCAAGAGTGTGAAGTGGAAATATTAAATGAATAGAACACTTAAGTTTATTTACCGTTACGTTTGTCATTGTTTTGAACAATAAAACCCTGCGCAAACGTGAAACGAACGGTTGGGGATATTCTCAATTAGGAATCAAAAATGCCACTATCAGCTTGATTTGGTAGTTATCAAGATGACTTTGTCGACCTCGAATACCGATTTTTATCGCGCAAAGATGAGCAAAGTTCGACAGGCAAAATAAGTGCTTCCTTAAAAATGCGTCACTGAGTTTTTACAGCTTTCCAATAATGTCTAAGCCTAAAGTTGACCTACCGAGTAAATCACGTGACAGATGTTTGAACGTATTTCTAACTGTACAAAAGATCCAGACGTTCGGTAGGAAGCAGTCTGTTCGGGAAGGAGTTAGTTGAAATTGAGATTGTTCTCAAAAATAACTTATCAATCGACTGATGAGAACCGCATTTTGTGGCTTTGCACGACAATTTTTGAGTGTGCTTCACTCAAGCAAAACAGATTTTGAGATACCCTGTGGGTGACGTAAGGTGCTTTTCGTCTTGCTTTTGGTGATAGACGATAAGCCTAGTGTTGTATGTACAATGCACTGACGATTGAGATCCTGATATATACGCATTGATCAGCATCGAAAGTAAAAGTACGCTGAGCCTTCGGGGATCGAGAAACAAAGAGAATATCCCAGTTGGAAGTCGGTGAAGCAATTAAACTAATGATGGCAATTTGCAAATTGAATGTGCCCAAAATCAGACTGTCAGCGGAGTGGACGGAGGGCTGGACGGTGGGAAGAGAAGTGACTGTGTCAGTCAATTGGATTAATCTATTCGGTCAAACAAGGAACTTATGTCGTTGCTGGATCTTTTCCGACTGCCCCAAGTGGGATTGGATCGAACGCGAGTTCTTTAAATTTGTTCTGTGAGGCCAGCAGTTCGAAGACAGCAGATTGATATTGTTTATGCAACCAGATAAGATTGGAAACAAACGCTCACATGCATATATGACTGATTATCTGGGGTGGAAGTTTTATTTCTATTTAATCTCATATGTGATACTCTCCCTTAATTGAAAGTTCGTTCTGTTGATCTTGCGTTCTCGATCGAACGTGACCCGTCCTGCGCTTCATGGTTCTTGCCTGAAACAAGTTCCTTCTCAGTCAAAATGTATCCGAAAGTGTCTACTTCTGGGTGGACTTCGTCAGAATGATGAAGTTTTCCATTCTTTTTGTGTTGTCTTTGCGAAATTAGACCCAGTATGCAATATTCCTTTGGGTAAATAGGGATTAAATTAAACGTAATCCCGTATTAAATGACAAATTCTTCAGCTAAACGAGGGGTTCGCGGAAAAGATAGGAAGTACTGAGCAGCTATTTCGACCTGGTTGGGTCTCATCGGCAGTGTGAATCCAAAGACCCGAACCGGGGGGCGGGGGATGAAAGCCGAGACCTCAAAGGCAGATCGCAAGCATGCTACCCACTCGACCACCGGGCAGCTGATAAGACCGTTTTTTAATTTCCTTATACACAATATATATGAATGTTTCCGTAAGGTGCGCTTAAGCCATTCTCCATATTCCGTATCCTTCAACTAATGCGGATCCTTTAATGCTGACTTGCGAAGATCATACGGGTATCATACGGCAATCAACATCATCCATGAACAGCGAGGGATTGGGTAAGTGTACAACCGTGATCGCCCAAATATTCTTTGCTGTACTTCAATAATGGATTCTTGGGTTTTTGTGGAGAAAGGTGCTCTAAAACCAATGATGTGCATTTATTTAACATAATAGGGTGGGCTAGAAATTCGAGGCTCATATCCGAGCAGTCAAGGATAGCCCAAAAGTCGCGGCATTGCCCCACCCAATAATAGTGAACACTCGACAATTTATCGTAGCCTAACTATGAAGAGTGAGATTTGCCTGGGCCGATTTCATGCAAACGGTGGTTGGTGGAATGCGTGGCACGTATTTATGTAATAAAACCGAATTCATCTTTATCCAACAGCATTTCGGTGGTCTGAAGTGCCGTCCGAGTGTAATTTTGTATTGTTGAGTTGTAGCTAAGCTGCTTAAACACCTTCGGTGCACAGTTGTTGGAAAGGATTGGCGCACACGGAGGGACAAAAATCTCGGAATTTTACCTCCAGCATGTGCTGAACAGTGCAGCAGAAGAAGGCAAGCCGACGATCGATGCTGGTGTTTAATTCATAGTAGTAGGTGTTTTGGTCAATCGCTGGCATTGGTGTCTGACCTTCAAGGGCCGCGAACGGCATGAAGTACATTGTTTCGTGTGACCAGCAGTAAGTGAAAAGGATAAAGTATATGCTGAAGGACAAACTCGTGAAAGCATTCAGAATCAGGTTAACTTAATGCCAGTGTGCGTCTACTACAATTTTGTGTATTATCGTCAACCTTTTATGTTCTTGGGTTCGGCTCCATTCTTTTCTTTTTCCTGTCATTGTCAATAGTCAAAACGACTATCAAATATGGGTCTTTGAAAGACAAGAAACTGACAGTAATTTGCCACTTCTGCGGTTGACATTTCCCCCCGTAAACCAACTGACATTCCTGAACTCCTGTAAAGTAGTCAATTTCATTTCTTCTGATAAGGTTCCTCTACCAACGAATTCTTCACTGGTATTCTCCATCCTAGAGAAATTCAGAAGGAAACATGATGCACTCTCGTGTACCTGAAACTGTTTATATTTACCGCCCGTTTTATTTGCGTGCTTAAGCCTATTTTTCACACAATGTTTTGCAGTCAGTAGAGGGCAATAATTGAAAGTGGACAGTCGTTCATTTATGGCTCTTTCGTCCACACGCCAACTATCACTCATAAGACAAAGGTGCAGAAAAAACGTTTCAAATGTCAATCAAACGGTTGGTCTTATATGAGCTGTCTATTCATCACTTTGAGCGACTAATGTGAGTGATTCAAACCGAAACATCAAGGTGGGGACATCTACATAAGGATTGAAGAAAGATCATATTGCATCATGGTCACCCGCACGAGCTGGGATTGGAGCAAAAACAGTAAACGCGACGACGGATTAAGGCCATGCGCAGACGAGGAACGGAATTCAAAACTCACACTGGATTCGTTGGAAGCTGACACGGCAATAAAATGACGCAATCCGTCCAGATTGGCCTTCTTGATCACACTGCCTCTTCGACAATTCTGTTGCAGGTCATCCGAAGGCTGGCGGTTTTCCGAAATGACAAAAATAACAAAATAACAACACATGAAAACATTGGTGTCATGTGGATACACAATGTGGCTCAAAAGTTCCTCATTTTTGTATGAAACCCAAAGTCGGCATTGGTATCAGCTCCAGTTGTGCGAGCATTGATATTGTAATTTGCTCACTGATAGTGCTTTGAAATGCATCTACACACAGGTCGTGAGAACACAGTTTGAATAACCAGTCTCTTCATGTATTTCATTGGACTGAAGCGTACTTGGAGGAACAGTCGGAACAATAGGTATCATATATAATGGAAGCCAATGAACCAAAGGGATCATAGGTTCGGCTGCCAGTTATTCTCCAAATCCAGCCATCGTGTTGTAGATCGCAACTATATCCTCAGTTTTGTATCGGATTGCTCTACTATCTAAGTTTATCAAGCTCCGAGTGACTCATTAATATAAACTCAATTCCTGATTTTACTTGTGCGCTCCTAAATCCCACAGTAATTTTCCATGACTGTATGGCGCATTCCGGTTTCTGTGTATCACAGTACAGTAGAAATTCGTGGACGATTTCAATAAGAATATCAAAAGACAAACAATATAGCGAACAAGCTGGTTTTCGTAATTTCGTCTTCAGGCATACACAGTTGTATGTGGTAATAGGTTATGTAGAAATAAATTTGATTGATCCATTGAGGTTAAATGTAAAAGTACAACAATGTCTGTCAATTTCTATCAGAGCAACTGGAGGAAAGAGACGGGGAGTGAACAAGGGGGACTAAGATCAATTCTGGAAATTTCCGATGACCTTTTTCACGTTCGATTTGTCAGGCCATGTTGCATCATCCCGACACGATTGAGGTCATGGTTCAGTTCATCAGTTAGGCTGAGGCGTAGCCAAGGCAATAAAGTTGCATTGGCAAACATTTTCTATTGTTTGCACAGTGGTATCCACGTGTTACTTTCGTGCAGCGGTATTGAAAACAGACATCAACAAGGGTGGCTTTGAAGGCGTGACGAACTGAACCATGACCCCAATCATGTCAGGATGACGCAACATGGCCTGACAAGTCGAACGTGAGAAAGGCCATCGAAAATTTCCAGAACTGACCTTTGGTCGCATTCTCTCCCTGCCCCTTTTCTCCATTTTCTGCGACCGAACTTGCCAGACATCGTTGTCATTTCAAATTTTAACACAATGGACCATTCATATTTTTTTCTACTTTATATAGAAAAAACAACTGTAAATGCCTGGAGACGAAACTACGAAAACCAGCTTGTTCCCTATATTGTTTGTCTACTGCAGAAATGTCACCAGGATACTGATCATGTCGACCTTCAAGTTCAATCAGCAAACTAGAGTGGTTGTTAAGAAAGTAAACGGGGTCCAGAGTTTCCGTTCACTCGGATAACAAACTCTCACAGCAAATCTAAACTAATAGTTAACCATCTTTTCTGACCAATAAACCTCGGTGAGAAAAACTTTACTGAAGACAAGGCCCTGAATACTGCAATAAGCCTGTAAAGGTGGGTTGTCGGACATCGTGTATCAACCTAATCGGTCAGGTAGGTTCAATGTTTATTGTCAAACGGATGCGCACTGCTGATGATGCCTGTCAAGGATGAGCCAGTCAAAGAAAGTCAATCTCTTAGGAGAACATGTGTTCGAAGAATTATGTTCGTTTTGTGTCCCTATATTTCAACCTTTGGCTTAAAGTACCACTCTCCCGGAAAATTCTATTTCTACTGTTCATAACTTTCAATGTACAATTTGATTCAAGCACTCATTGAGGAACAAGATGGAATTCATAATTTTTTTCAGTTAGGTGTTTTTCAATTCCAAGGGCAACAGTAAAAGCTAAAAAGGACGACCCGGTTGTCTATGTCTGGAAAGGATTTTGCGGAGATTTTGATTCAGGAGTATATCTGCCCCCCCCCCACCACCCCCGATTGGAAGGAGAACAGTGTATTGTGGTTAGATTTGCTTTGCAGTACGGAAAGATAAAAGGATTTTCCAAGGAATCATTGTTAAAACGTGTGTGAAACTGTCCAAAAACGTGTATATAAGAGATAAGAAGACAGAATGTATCGTATTTATGACCGTTTGAAAAAAATGATCTTCCATTAACTGAGAGAAATATTAGCGATTCGGGCACGAAAAGTAAGTCTTGCTGAAACTGAGTGAAACTGTTTATGCGACACCAAGATATAAATTCGCTTGAGATGATAGGAAAAAGTGGTGGGGCTGACAACCTGTGGTGGCGGTTATCAAGACGCATGAGCGCGCAGAGCATACCAATGTTGTTTGGATCAAAATGTAATCAAGAATAACAAACGGTGAAGATAACTATTATCCTTTGGTAACCCGAGTATCAAGTGCTAATAAAGGATTTCTCTATTTATATCACATTATTCAAGGGCGAATTTTAAGCATATAAACATTTGCTACATTCTCCCACAAGCTGGGCACACATTTGCGCTACCACTACATCATTCAGTTAGAATAGACAACACGTTTTCCCGCGTACAAGATTGAATATATCACCACAGTATGGACACGAATACAGACAGGTTAATGTTTCTCAATAAATGATGGGGAAACACTGATAACGTTTGGCATGACACAACTTCTGAAGTACGTTGTGAGTACGATGGGAAAACTGGTTAGAACTCTGATTCGAGTGTGATAGGTTCTTACAGGATTTGAAGTTATGTAGTTTGGGCACCTCATGGACTGTAGTTTTTATTTCTTTACGAATCTCGTATATATATATATATATATATATATATATATATATACATGCTAGTGGACAAGCATGGTTACAACGC